CTGATCTGTGAAGTGCAATTTGAGAGGAAGAAGTTGCAGGGAAATCTTGTCACAACGAAGCCGCTGAGACCAGTAAAAATAGCCGTCGGTGTAACGAAAAAAAAAAATCGGTAAAAAAAACTCATTTTAAGTTGTGGCTATTGGACAGATACATAAAAAATAANATTTTCTAATTTTGTAAGAAAAGCCGGATTTACCCTGACATAACGCAAGTACTCTACCTTTAATTTTTCATTGTTTGACTTTGGACATGATTGAGGTATAAAGAAATAACTATTCGATGTACCGATAATTCCAGAATTAACGAGAAGTCAGCTGAGGAACTATGTAAAACATTAAATTTAAAATCAAGAAAATCAAGACATATTTCTTATTATTCTAGAGACGATGCGTTCATTTTCCGGGAAATTTTAAAACAGTTTCGTGAGTGAAGAAACCGTCGGAGCTGTTTTAAGAAATGTTCTTTGAGTCACTGATGGGGCGTGAGAAAAAGTAGATAAAATAGACGGGTTCAACAGTTTCCGGTCGGAATGCGGTACCTGAGGTTTTTCCACGGGTCGTTCGAAACGGGGTTCGTTTTTTTATTTATTTTTTTTAAACTCTCTACTCGTTCATTTCTTCTCTGGTCCAGTGCCAAGAAATCCCACGGAACCGCAATGCTGGGTCATGGGCCGGAATGGTGGGTGTGGGGGGTGAGGAAACACCCGGGAATGGGACTTGATTGCGGGGGTGCCTTTAGCCGGGTTGCATAAGGGGTCGCAGGGTTTGGGGGGGAACCTGGGTGTCTCTCATGCACAGGACAGGGGATGAGCTCGACTGAATTGCTCTTTTTTTTTTCTTGATAAGGGGTGTCTAGGATTACTCCTGGTTTGGGGACGAATTGGCGGTAATTTTTTTTCTAAAATTTCAGTCCTCGAGTTTCGCGATAAACGGAAATAATTTTTGCTTGAAAAAAAAAAAAGTTTACCCCCTGTGAATCACGCGCAGTTTTACATTTTGCAGTATTTCCAGTCGAACCTCGGCAAGGAACCAGCAAACAAATTCGACTTGGAGAGGTTTAGACTTGGGAATTTTTTTTTGCCAAGGAAAAAAGCAGTTTTGTTGAAGAAAACGTAAAATAATCGTAGGGGATATTATAGGCTTTGACTTGCTTCCGAAATGAGTTTTCAGCATGCTGAACTTGGAAGCAAGTGTTAATTTGCTCAATTAGTCTTTATCTTCCCTTCAAGACACATCAAATCACTTTTTTTTATCTCTTTCATATTTTGAGAAAATAATAGCCAAAAGACGTCGGGAAATTCGAGTTACGGAGGTTCGAGAGAAAAATACTTCGATTTAGGGAGGATTTTAATGCACTGTTAATACAGTAACGGAAAAAATTAACCCAACGAAACTCATTTCAAAAAGGGTTTCTATGCTTGAAAAACAATACTGATACTTGAAAATTGTAAGCTTTTTTTGGAACATCCACCCTTAAAAATCTGTTCAGGAATTGCTTAGAAAACCTTACTCAACAAAAAGTGTTAGTGTACACCTGTTATTCAGATTAATTGCTTGTATTTAACGTAATTTATGTGTGAAAATATCAGTTTTTTTTAATGCTGAGAGGTATCTGATAAAGTCACAAAAGGAATACAGTTGAAAGTACCGTGTGCAGGTTTAATTTTCAGAAAATCTTCCCATCAGTCAAAGGTTTTGAAAATCTCAATTTAAAAAATAATCCGTTATAACAAAATTTTTCCCAAGTCCCCACAATTTTGTTGTAACGAGGTTTTACTATTAAAGAATTCAGACGGGGACTATAAAAAAAATTCGACATAGGGTAGTTCGTCTTATCGAGGTTCAACTAATTATTTTTTTAATGCTGGCTCAATGAATAAATTTTTCCTCGATGCAAAGACGATAGCCCAAAATATTGAAGGGATAAATGAGAAATCTGGACGAAGAAACCCGGCTTCGGGGGTGATTTAGAAGTTGGTTAATCCGGAGATGATCCCGCCAGAAGTTGCTTGGTTACGCTTATCCAAGTCCCTCAGTGGGAGGAAACTTTTCTGGACCCAACAACTCCTCTTTATTCTTTATTTTTTTTTCTCCCTATCTTACCCATCTTCTCGATCCCGAAAGGAACGGAAGTTTGATATGGGCAAGGTTATTATGTAAGGAAGCTACCGAACTCTGGGGGAATGGATATTCTCAAGTTGATGTGGCGTTCGAGCATCGATTCGAATGACCGGATATTCAGAGTGTGCTGATCTGTGAAGTGCAATTTGAGAGGAAGAAGTTGCAGGGAAATCTTGTCACAACGAAGCCGCTGAGACCAGTAAAAATAGCCGTCGGTGTAACGAAAAAAAAAAATCGGTAAAAAAAACTCATTTTAAGTTGTGGCTATTGGACAGATACATAAAAAATAACTTCTTCGTTCATTAATCAATTCATTTGTCGAATCGAGATTTTACTGCATTTGTCACTGCTTTATTTTTGATGGGATTCGAGATCGGAACATTAAACGTGAATTAAAAATAAGGTATTGTCGAATTCTTCAGGCGGAATTTTTGCGGAAACCTGATTTGAAGAATTCATTTGAATAGTCAAGAAAAATTTTCAGACTTGCGCTGAAGTAAAATTTGAGTCAATGAAGAGACAGTTATTTTACGTTCAAATTGTTTGAATTGTATTATTTATTACAATTCATTCAGCAGCAGGCTGAATAAAAATGCAGTATATATCGGTGGTCTCTCTCTACAACGATTTTCTCTGTATAAGGAATTTGTTGTGGTTTCATAGGTTCTCTCTCCTCGTGTACGGGGGTTTTCTACGACGAAATTTTATCTACGAGGATGTTTTTTTGTTCCCTTGAATATCTTTCTTGAGAAAGTCCACCTGTAGTACTTCCGCTTTGTGAGGAACTGTTGAGGGAAATCTTTAATGGACCTAATTCAAAATTGGGTTCCATTTCATAGATGGGCCACATTTTTTCCCTCAATTTTCGTTTTGTCTTGCGGCCGATGCCCGAAGTTAGAATTCGGTCTATGATCACAGTACTGTAATATTGTACATGTATTTTCAAATAGTTTTTAAAATGATGAAAAATTAAATTTTTGGAATCAATGAGTTCTTGAATATTTTCTTAGATTTTAAATTTTCTTGATATTCCCCCAGCCTTTTGTTGAAAAAATTAATAAACCTCCTTGGGATGGGAAAATAATACGAACCCGTTTCGGGGGTTATTTCGCTGACCAGAACTCATTCCATGTCCACTTCATCGGATCTGAAGGGCTGTCATCTTCGGTGATGATGACGTTGAGCACGTTCGGGGTGTGTGGGAGGTATTCAAAACTTTGAGAGAATTCCCGAAATACGCCTGTTTTGTTCCCGTGGATAGTTGAAAGAGGTTCCGTATTGGAGGCTTTCGGTGTTACGACGACGGGAAGCTCGTTTCCCTTCCAAATTATCGGACGAGAGAATCTCCAATATTTGTGCAAGTGGACTCTCTCAGCGATGATTTCGTCTGCAGAGTTATTCTTTGTTTAAGGAATTTAAAAAAAGGATTTGTGAAGTTTTTGAAACTTTTTTGTTTAGCAAATGTCATACTGTACATGACTGATTTTTTTCTGCAAATTTAAACCCCCTATCTCACTTCTTAGATTATCGAAACATACGCAGAATCTTTGGAAGTCAGGCATAATAATATGTGACTGTGCGAGTGACATCTATCCTCTGAGAAGCATTTATCAAATTGATGGAACATGACTTCGAAATTATCCCCAGTACAGACCCTGATAAAAAATTTAATTGATGACCCAGCCTCAATTTCTGTAGATTGTGCTGGTCTTTAGCGCACATCTTGGGAATAGTTCAGATTCATTTTTGGCACAGCATCATTAATACTACAGTAATTGAAAAGCTAATATTTACTCGAATTCATATTTACTGGAGCAAAGAAAGATTTACAAGCATTGGAATTCAATGAACAGACCCTTTCTGAAATCATAGAGGATCAAGATAAACTGTTGGCCTTATATGATTTCTCATCGAAGATTCTCTGTATAAATTGTTCATTCAAGTAAACCTTATCTAAGAACAGGCTGAACACGTTTTGCTTTGAATTGGGTTCAGTAACTGCTGCAATTGCTGCTTACGCTGCAATTCTTGTTACTGATTTTTTGTTATCAATGTCAGGGGTGTACGCATATACGCATACACATCAGTTGTGCAATTTTACATTTTAGAATGCATTTTCTTTTATTTTGGTATCCGTATACAGCTTATTTTTCTGCTTTCCATTCTGAAGTGATTGAATGCATTTGATTGGATTTGGTTTGGGCGGGGAGGGGGTTTGGATGTAGGAATGTTGATTGAACCTTGTGAATGCTGAAAAGCAGAAAATAAAGCTTTCTGTTCATTCATTCATTCATTCATTCATTTGAACTCATGAGACAACCATTAAGCATCAACCGCTTCTCTTATTATTTGTTTCTGGAAAAAGCAAATAAAATTGCATGTTGATGTGACTTGCACTTTCATTAGATTCAATTTCATCAGATTTGGAAGCTAATGCTTTAAGTACCGGACTAATCGCCTCCGACATTTCTAGCAGAAATCAGTCTTCCGCGAACTTTGAATGGGTTTCATTTTTTAGACTCAATTGCCATTCTAAAGATTGCTTTAGTAGGAAGCAATGATGTATAGGACGTTTTCCGGTTTGTAGAACAAATTTTTGCGCGAGATAATTTTTCGTAATACAGTAAATTTTAAATGATTACGATGTAAAATCTTCCAATTCCCACCGGATTCAAGTTTTATGTCAGCTGTAAAAAAGTTGCTTACACATTTCCTATATCATTAACAAACCGTGATGGAATCCGATTAATCCTTTCTCAAGTCAAATTACTCAGCTTTATTAGTCTAAAAATTTCCAGCTTGTTATAAGCCCTAGAAGAAAAACCTTCCTAGGGTCGCCTAGTATCGTTCAGTGATGTCAAAAATGACTATCAAAGCAGGACTGACACTGTGTGTCCTGGTGTGTGCAATTCTGGGACACGGGGTGTTCTGCGCGCCTGTAGCTGTCGCTGATAACGACGGCGGCGATGGCGGCAATGAGCGGTCAGGCGGGGTAATTGTCCCGGGCGACGCCCCCTGGGACCGGGACGCCTTCGCCCCGGGCATGGGTCGCTGGACGACCCTTGGGAAAGGCATTTTGCAGCTCCAGGTGCCGTGTTTGTCTTTCCCCTTTCTCGGATCCTCGGGTTCTTATGAGACCCACAAAGAGGAAGAAACGAAAAAAGGAAAAAAAAAAAAAATTNAATTCCCACCGGATTCAAGTTTTATGTCAGCTGTAAAAAAGTTGCTTACACATTTCCTATATCATTAACAAACCGTGATGGAATCCGATTAATCCTTTCTCAAGTCAAATTACTCAGCTTTATTAGTCTAAAAATTTCCAGCTTGTTATAAGCCCTAGAAGAAAAACCTTCCTAGGGTCGCCTAGTATCGTTCAGTGATGTCAAAAATGACTATCAAAGCAGGACTGACACTGTGTGTCCTGGTGTGTGCAATTCTGGGACACGGGGTGTTCTGCGCGCCTGTAGCTGTCGCTGATAACGACGGCGGCGATGGCGGCAATGAGCGGTCAGGCGGGGTAATTGTCCCGGGCGACGCCCCCTGGGACCGGGACGCCTTCGCCCCGGGCATGGGTCGCTGGACGACCCTTGGGAAAGGCATTTTGCAGCTCCAGGTGCCGTGTTTGTCTTTCCCCTTTCTCGGATCCTCGGGTTCTTATGAGGCCCACAAAGAGGAAGAAACGAAAAAAGGAAAAAAAATTGGGAGGTCCCCTTGACTGTTTATTTTTTATTGTTTTAGAATTTTCTTTTTTAATTTGAGATTTATGCGATTATTGGCTTTGTTTCTTGCTGGATGGAATGTTTTCTTTAAAGGTTCAAGGACTATGGGAGGGAATAATTCCTACATCAGAGTCAAAATTTTTTCAATTTGCCGCTAGTAAATTATGCCTTTTTTGAATGATAATTTAAGATTATTGATCGATGAGGCTAGATTGAAATTTCTCTCGGATAGAGTCTGAAAATTAGTTTCGAAAAAAGTTGTAGGTTTCACACCCTTTTTCACAAAGCGAGGTAAAATGATCAGTACTGAATAATGAAATATTTCAGTCGCTTTCATTTATTTAAACTGATCTGCCGGAAATAGCATATTAATCAATGATGATAGTCCCGTTGAAAATTCCCCACGATGGAGTTTTTCACTCGCTGAATCTTGAATTTAAAAATTAATCTCTGGATGACCGCCGTGTTTTCTGCTCAACATGAGATTTTTATTTTTAAATAAAATGATTGTGTTTCTTGATAAGAAGAAAATATTTTAATTATTCAATTAATTTGAATTTATCCAACCGATACTTGCTAAGGCTAGATTGAAATTTCTCTCGGATAGAGTCTGAAAATTAGTTTCGAAAAAAGTTGTAGGTTTCACACCCTTTTTCACAAAGCGAGGTAAAATGATCAGTACTGAATAATGAAATATTTCAGTCGCTTTCATTTATTTAAACTGATCTGCCGGTAATAGCATATTAATCAATGATGATAGTCCCGTTGAAAATTCCCCACGATGGAGTTTTTCACACGCTGAATCATGAATTTGAAAATTAATTTCTGGATGACCGCCGTGTTTTCTGCTGAACATGAGATTTTTATTTTTGAATAAAATGATTCTGTTTCTTGATGAGAAGAAATATTTTAATTATTCAATTAATTTGAATTTATCCAACCGATACTTGCTAATTATCAACTGATGATACAGCACGAACTATTCGTCAATTGTATAAATTTAATGTGTTGATCCTCGTCACGCAAATCTCCAATATTGCCGAAACGTGCCGTGGAATGAAATTTCATTTCGAAAAAAAGAAGAAAAACACGAAAGAACGGATTTCAAGAAATTACAGTATTACTTTTTCTACAGAAGGCTAGAATTATAATTTTTATACTTTTACAGCCGTTGCCGCTGATTTCATTCTTCCGGGCGATTTATATTTGTCAATTTATTTTTCGGAAAGCGTTGATCCGTTGGATAAATTTTTCGTTGTGAGGTAATTTTTTATTTGGTTTGAGAGCAGATTAAGGATACTTTTTTTGTTTGGATATCGAATTACGGAAAGTGAGGCGTGGAAGAAAAAGGAGGCGTTGTCTGGGGAAATGGAAGAGTTTTTCGTTCCACGTGAAATCGAATTCCGAGCTNTTTTTCGGAAAGCGTTGATCCGTTGGATAAATTTTTCGTTGTGAGGTAATTTTTTATTTGGTTTGAGAGCAGATTAAGGATACTTTTTTTGTTTGGATATCGAATTACGGAAAGTGAGGCGTGGAAGAAAAAGGAGGCGTTGTCTGGGGAAATGGAAGAGTTTTTCGTTCCACGTGAAATCGAATTCCGAGCTACTTGCCGAAAACTTGTTTCTGAGACTTCTCGTAGGATAGGGAAAGGAAAAGAATTGGAAAGCCTTGCCGTTTATCCACTTTCCAATTTTCTATTCGTTCATTGCTGGCACCGTTGTCATCGACTTTTCTTCTTATATTTGCCGAAATTTTTTTCTCCTGTTTTTCTTTATTTCTGTCATTGGCTCCTCTGCGAAGGCGAAATTATAATTTTTCTTCTTGTTTTCTAGAAACAAACCTTTGCATTTTGTATGGAACGGTTTTTTTTTCAAGCGAGGAGACTTCGACATTGGCAGCGATGCAATTGACTAATTTGTTGGAAAATAAATTTTATTTGTCAAAATGATTGATTCTTCACGATCTGTAGTTTTAATATTTTGACGTTCAGTAACCCGCGTTTGAAGCGAAGTACAGTATCGCAAATTCGAAAATGAGTTGAAGTTTTGAATCTTCAAAATTTGCCATGTAAAGTTTGAATGGACAAGGTTTTATTTTGTGAATATAATTAGCTTGACTTAAAAATCCGCGCGACATTGTGTCGTTGTGTCACTTACTTCATTATGTTGTATATTTTTTTTTTTTCAAAAGAAAATTCTGGTTTAAGGCCACATTTCAAAGCATCCATTTTAATTTTTAAGCCAATTGCTTATCCGTGATTTATCTTGTAAAACTTTGGAAGATGACATTTCAAAAATATGTCTTGACTCTTACATACCTTTGAAATTGTCCATGATAGATATATAATAGATATATAATCCATGATATATCTTGTAACATTTTATAAGATGACATTTCAAAAATATGTCTTTACTCTTTCATACCTTTAAAATTGTCAGACAATTTTTGTCAGATTATTTTAATTCCCCCACTTTATATAGATGTAACATTTTGGAAGATGACATCTCAAAAATATGTCTTGACTCTTTCATACCTTTGAAAGTGTCAAACAATTTTTGTCAGATTATTTCAATTCCCCCACTTTGTCGATGGATGCTTTTCTGGAATTAAGATTCGCTTTCGCGGTAAATAAGTTTTTAATGACCAAATTGTCGCATTTGAAATCAAACTTGTGGGCAATTAACAATAATTTATAACCCCTAGGAACTCGCTCGGCAATTCAAAATACCGAGTGCCATTTTTGACGAAAACGAAATCATGAGACGAAGGCAAATCCACGGCTTTGTCGATGGTCTACCAAAAGAAGCAGACGAAGCTGAAAGTTTCTCTGACGACTTTTCGCAGCCTCATTTTGAATCCGAACGAAATACCGAGGTATCTTCAACCTAACATTATTTTGTTCTAACTCAAAGTAATGAGGAATTTTGAATCTCTCATCTTTCTAAAATGAGGAACCTTTGCACAATGCAGCGGAATTGTCACGGAGTCCAGTGATCCAATCGGTGTCCGTTGAACCAGCGTTTCCGGTAATGATGATATTTCCTGGTTTCATTTAATGAGGACACTAGTTAGCAGTTAATTAATGTTACGACCTCATGTAAAACAAAAGGTCGCTTTACTGCAACAACTTTACCTGTGGCGACTCCTCTAATAAGTCTGACTAAGACGTGGCCTCCATTAATTTAAGCGTACTGCTTCAGCGGTTTTTCGTCGCAATATTTCAAGGGCTTTCGTCAATTTTTTTTTACGTTCATTCGTGACTCGATCGTCAATTTGTTTCGAGTTGACGTGCCTTTTCGAAATCTTGTCAATTTAATGGTATTCAGTTCATGTGCCTTTCTTCAATCTGGTCACTTTTATGGTGGTGCAGATTATTCAGACTGATTCTGCATCGGAGGTAATTAAATTCGGATGACGAAGTCCGATTTTTCGTCGCAATATTTCAAGGGCTTTCGTCAATTTCCTTTACGTTCATTCTTGACTCGATCGTCAATTTGTTTCAAGTTGACGTGCCTTTTTGAAATCTGGTCAATTTTATGGTATTCAGTTGATGTGCCTTTCTTCAATCTGGTCACTTTTATTGGTGGTGCACTTCGGAGGATTGTTATTTTGAGCGCGTGGGTTTATTGTTCTTCGTAGATTCAAAAGTATTTCTTCGCGTGGAAATCGGTCCATCATTCACGTGGATTTTAATGCAGTATTTTTATATTCATCCGTGAACCGGGAATAAAGTCGCTGGGCGTGAATTTGTCTCCTGTGAGATACGAATTCGCGGAACAAGAGCAGGACGACGCACTAGAAACTGTGGCAGCGGAAAAAATGGACCTCCACTATTTGTACACGCACGGATTGAACACCGAACCCCTGGTTAAAGGGGATGACGGGGATCCTGTTTCCCGAGATTTGCAAATAAACGCCCGGTTAAGTAGTGGTCAGCAACAGGGATATTCTGCTGGGAATGGACCTGACAAGGACAGCAATTATTGCTGGACCAGATTTTTGCCGTGAGCCTGATTATATTTCCCGGAAATTTTATTTTTGTTGTTGCTTGTATAGTTGATGTAATTTTTGTTTTGGGCTGGATGTTTTCAAAAGTTCCGAGGAGTTTTGCGTTGAAATTGAATTAAAAAAAAAAGATAATGGTGTTGGAGGTTCCGAGGAGTGAATTTTACGTTTTGACACGTGTTAAAATGCTTGTTTGACGTTTAAGCTGGAGCGAATATTTTGTGATGCTTATATGCAGTAAAATCTCGTTGGAAGGAATACATTGGAACCCCGGAACATCTTCGTTGTGTTAAGTTTGTTATTGAGAAACTCAGTTGTCATTGCTTTACTTCGTTGTAATCGGTTATTCTTTATAACGAGATTCGTTGTTACAAGATTCTAGTGTACCATCACGAACACCCAAGGTATCAAAAAAAAACTACTGTGCCAAAAGAGCGAGTACATTATTAAATAGAAAAAACTTAGAACATAAATTGAGCATAAATGTGAAGAGAAAATACTAAAGATCGTTCAAGTCTTGGATCAGCGTTACTCTAATTTTGATTTATCCAGAGGGAAAAAAAACACGGTCTTCATAGTCATGTTGTGATCTGCTTGATTTACTTTTGATTTGATGATTAAAGTTGATTACAGTAAAGTCTTGTTACAACAAAGCCATTGGAATTGGTGAAATAGTTTCGTTGTAACGAAAAATCCATCGTGAAGTGCTGTAATTCATTCTACATTCTGGCTATTCGGCAAGGACAAAAACTACTTTTTTATAAGGGATTATTCGTTATAACGAGATTCAACTGTATTTGAAATTGTTCACTTATTCCCAACGCAAGGATTATAAAAATGGGCGAACTTTTGAAATCATCGTGGCTATTTTCAGGAAAACTTGAAAAGGAAAATTCCGGAGCACATGCGAATATTGAAAGAAGAAGGGGCTGGAAAATTTGAATAACGTCGGGCTCTTCTATGCTTTCTTTGAACTGACGTGTTTTAGAAAACACCATCTTTTCTGAAGGAAAAGATAATATTTTCAACACCTGAAAAGCGGTGGGTTTAAGAAAATCGATCCAGATTTTCACGGGCGTGTCGGTCGAATCACGATCGGAAAAAGCGGCGCATTGTAAACTTTTTTTTTTCGCCTGAAAATTTCAATTTTGAGTTCTAGTACTTGAAGGGGATTTTTTCCCTCGGGTTTCAGAAGATAGTGCGTTATTTATTCTGCAAAGCTCCAATTTTTTTCTTCTCTTGGCTCCCCAGGGAAGCGTTAGTGGATTTTATTGATCAGAATCAAGACCGCTGTGTTGTTTACCTGACGGATGAAAAATTGGGGCTGTGGGGCTTTTTATGTGATGAAACGCCGTTTACGGGGTCGTGTTTTTTTTCTTATGAAAATAAAAGAAAATGCTTCTCTGAGATTGTTGTCTTATGTGATGCATATTGTGGGAAACCTTCAGGGGGTTTCTGTTGCTTTGGAGAAGATTTTTCGGAGGAGAGGGATTCCTGGAAATATGGAGGTAGAACTGCGCAGATATTTGTCGTTTTGCGAGGACATGTTTTGGACTGTCGTGTTTGGGGGACTATTGGGAAGACGGGTGCAGGATAAAATCCCGTGGGAGAAAAAATCCTGCGGCCCAAAAATCCCGTAGGCCCAAAAATCCCGAAAGGTTCGAAAATCCCGAAAAAGGAATTTTCATATCAGAAAAACCTAGTTTGAAAACTACAAGAATGGTATTTAAACAATTCATAATTATCAAAGAAGTCTAAATGCAGTTATATGTAGTGATAATTCTTTTTGAATCTTAATATGCAATATACAGTACATGATGCATAAGAAATAAAATAAAAAATCTATAAATAGTCTGCAAATTTTCAACTCTACAAGATTTCCACCCAAACTGATGCAAGTTTATTATGGTACTTCAGAAGGGAAAGTTGAGCTGTGAAAATCATTGGAATAGTACACAGTTTATATAAAAAACAAATGCAGGGATGAAGGCTCCAAATGAAGGCTACATCTTTCCCAGGCTTCCTCACCTTTCTTTTGAGAAAGATGAGGAAGTGAAGGTGAGATTCTATTGAGAAAGATAATCCTTAAACCTCCCAAACCCTTGGAGTTGGCAAGGTTTAAAATAGAATTGATTCTTGAAATAAATTCAACAAGGAATTTGGTTGGGCTGCAACTGGGGTGAAATTTCACCCTATTTTAAGGTTGTTATAATTCGAGAACACAGTCAACACACTCAATATTCACAAAAACGCTGAAGTGTCTGGTATGAGAGCTCAGAGAAGAGTGAGTGATTTTGATTGATTCAGAAACCAGGAAAACTGTCCTCCAAGGACAAATAACAGAACCAGGATTTTAGCAATAGAAAACAGCCTTGGAGGCTTCCGGAAAATGTGTTTGTGAACCAAGGTCGTCCTTGGTTCACACAGAGATGCACAAGGACAAGTTTTTCTGAGAATTTGGATCCTTCAGTTCTTTATTCAGGGTAACAAACTATACTCTAGCATTTAATTTTGCAACAGATGTGACAGACTCACATCCACTGGTGGCATGCACTTGTTGAGACTTAAGTCTGTTCTGCGGATTTTTCTGTTATGTGAGAAGAGAAACTGCCTCCAGAGGCATTCTGTTCTACAAAAATATGTTGTGCGGGATGTCTGTTGTGCAGGGGTTGACTGTATTCTTCCAAGAACGCCCGACGGTCTTGGATTGACCTCGTTTGATCCAGTTGCGTGGATTATGTTTTTTTCTTTTCCCTCCAGAGAGTATTATCTTTTAAATCCTTTTAAAATTGCGGCCAGATGCTAAACAAGTTGGGTTTCGGCGATGGGAAGCGGGTGATTGCCGGGTGATAAAAGGTTCCCCATGCCCGCTGACGGGTTTGTTCGATGCCGAAAAATTGCTGGACGTATTGGCGCGAATTTTACGCCCTTTTTTTGTTTTGTTGAAAACGAAGGAATGAGTTTTGTCAATGCGTGAGACGACAGCTGATTACTATTACGGCTGGTCTTCTTGGTTTATGGTAGAATTCCGTGCGATGAATATATAATATGTTATAAAAAAAAATGCTCTGTACCTTTTTGAAACAAGTACAGTTCATACCTCTTCGTAGTCCACGTTTATAAAGGAGGAAACTGGACCAAAAAAACCAACACAAACCTTTATAAGACCTAGCTATTTTTTTCGAGCTCGGGTTTGACAAAATGTGATTCTTGCTTGAATTTTTTTCGTTGAAAAAGGCTTAACGCAAGCCATCTGTTCAATAGCGCAGGATTTTATTTAGTTTCTGCCTCGAATTTGGTAACATATCAGGCACGAATTGATAGTTTGAAAGAAAGATGACATTCAGTTTTAGTAAACATTTGTTTAGATCCCCATTCGTTTTATCGCTCTGTGTTTTCAGATTTGTGATATTGTCTGTGAAATTTTTTTTCGAATGATGTTTAAATTATTTGAAAGCACTTCAGACTGCTTTTAAATTCCGTAAACTTATGGAATTTAAACCTTTCTTATTACTGTTAAAGGTTAAGCTTTTAGCCTTCTTTCCTTCCCTCGCTTTTACTCGAATGGGCAACAATTTTAGCTTCGAAAAGTGTTTGAAAATTTTGCCAGTGTCCACTTATTCGACGACACTAAGGAAGTAAAAATACGGATGCATAATATAACACCACTAATCAATTGAAGCACGTTAATTTGATGTGTGGGAGTGTGTGATATTTTTGGGATAGCTCATATTTTTAGACGTATAGGACACGACGTAATGTTGTTTTTGCGAATTTTTGGGCAAACATATAAAATAATTTCGTGATTAGGATAGAAAGAAATCCGATGTTTGGGACCTGCATTTTTACATCACAAACGCGAAATACCAACTCCTACGTATATTCTTGAATATCAATTTCAGTGTTCAAGAGCGATTTTCGGGTTTTTTTTCCTCCCAAAGTTGTGTGTCATTGTTGACGATGTTCGCCAAGTGCTGATTT